TACAGCAAAGAGAGAAATGGCCAAAAATGGGCCAGATATTTTTAGGAACTATGGGCTGATGGACACAAAGGGAGACAGCATGTAACAGCGGCAATTTTCATTCCTTAGATGGAATAAAATTTATCTCATTATTGGTTTTTGCAGTTGTTTTCTCTTACCTGGAGTTGCTGTGTTTGTGTTGTTTAGAAAACGCAGAGGGACCAAGTTTGCTTCAGACCTGTGAGCATGCAAACCTTTTGGTGGTCCTTAGCCATAAAGCTCTGAGAGGGTCCTATGTCCTGTAGCAGGCTGAGGGCATGCCTGTTTGGAAGAACTTGTCACCAGGACCACATGCTTCACTCATACCAACCATTTAAGGAAGAATTAATGGTAGTCCTTCTCAACGTCTTCCAAAAACCTGAAGAGGGAACACTTTCAAACTCATTTGATGAGGCAAGCATTACACTGATACCAAAGCCAGACAGAAATACCACGGGGAAAGAAAACTATAGGTCAATATCCCTGATAAACATAGATGCAAAAATTCTTAACAAAATATTAGGAAACTGAATCCAACAGCACATTAAAAGAATCACACACCATGACCAAATGGTATTTATCCTTGGAATGCAAGCAAGTTCAACAAATGCAAATCAATTAATGTGAGACACCCCATTAACCATATACAGGATAAAATTATACAATTGTCTGAGTAGATGCAGAAAAAACTTTTGGAAAAGTTCAACACCCTTTTATGATGACAATTCTCAACAAACGAGGAATGGAAGGAAAGTACCTTTGCCAGAGGGGAGCGGGTTGGGGAACTCGGTGAAAAAGGTGAGGGATTAAGAAATACACGGCAGTTCCAAAATATCATAGGGATATAAGGTACAACATAGAGAATGTATAGTCAACAATATTGTAACAACTATTATGGCATCAGCTGGGTACTTATCACAGGGATCACTTCGTTAAGTTATATGAATGTCTCACCTCTGTGCAGTACCCCTGCAAATACTGAATGTCAACTGTAATTGAAAAATAAAAAAATAAATAAAAATAAAAGAAGGAAAGTACCTCAAAATAAAGGCCTAATAATAATGGTAATAATAATAATGGCCATATATGAAGAGCTTACAGTTAACATCATACTCAACAGTAAAAAATTGAATTCTTTCCCTCTAATATCAGATGCTCACTCTTGCCATTTCGATTCCACATAGTACTGAAAGTCCTAATCGCAGCAATTAGGCAAGAAAAAGACACAAAAGCCAAACAAATTAGAAAGGGAGAAATGAACATGTCCCTGTTTGCAAGCAACATAATCTTATATTTTGAAAACTCTAAAGAGTCCACCAAAAACCTGTTAAAATTCAGTAAAGTTGCAGAATACAGACTCAACATGCAACCCCCCCCACAACAGTTGCATTTTTATACACTAACAACAAACTAGTGAAAAGGAAATAAGGAAAACAATCCCATTTACAAAATCACCAAAAAGAACAAAATATGTAAGAATAAACTTAACTAAGGAGGTGAAAGATTTATATACTGAAGACTGATTAAAGAAATTAAAGAAGACACAAACAAATGGAAAGATAT